TGCCGCGGCAATCATGCAGCGCTTGTAAGGGCGCCGACCGTGACGTAGCGCACATAGATAGCGCGCTTTTGACGCGCATACTACACTCAATCCTTTCTAACGCGCGCGCGAGCGAGGTGCGGCCCAGCCCAAAGATGTTTATGATGGCTACTCTCGTCGATCTCAAGGACACTGACGCTCTCCCGATCTCAAGAGTACTGACAACATCGCGCGTAACGCGCAGCGGGCCGCGCGCCTCGTCAGAGAGAGATTCGCGCCGCCGCTCCTTCACCGGCGCAAATGAAGTGCGCGCACCCCGCGCGCGCGCGCGCAGCACACCCGGTACTGGCCTTCGACTGCGCGCGCCAGCCGAGCGCCGTCGGAAGCGGCGCTTTACTCCAAGCCTGAGGGGCTGAAGGCGGGGATGCGGCGCGTCTGACACCGTACTAGCGCGCACTGCCGGGAGCGCGGCCGCTCCACCGCTCTGTCGAACGCCTGAGACGCGTCGCGGCCGCGCACGTTTTGCGCACACAGCGCGCAGCCAAGGTGCGGTGGTGGCGGCTCGATTCCGGCTTGATCGCGCTCGACGCACGTCGCACAGCGCGCCGCTTGACACAAGCGCGGCCGCGCGACGGGCCGATCCTTCGGCGGATGCACAATGAGGAGCACCAGGTGCACACCAGATGAACAGGTTGCTCGTTCTTGTTCCACAATCTGTTGAGGGGAATACGGCCTTCACTTAAGATACCAAATCAAGGCTTTTTTATTAAACCTGAGACAATTTGGTTCCGCACAAAGCGCCAGCCATGGGAGCGCTACAGGAGTGCCCAGAAGACGTCCTTCTCGTTGTTATCAGCAAGCTCGCAAGTCAGGACCCTTTTTCCATGCTTCGAGCAACCTTCGCCAGCAAATCACTCCAATGCGCTGCGGAAAACGCTCTTGAGCTTTGGAAGACGGCGTTTCTGTTCCCCTCAGTGGCGAGCAACTTTCCCGTGAAAGAGCTTGAGAGCTTTGACACCAAAGTTCAAGCCCTGGGAGGTTACAAGCGACTGCTGGCAGCCCGTATTGCGAATGTAACGCATCATCAGAGATGGGAACACAGGGTTTCTGTAGAGGAAGGAGTTAAACAAGAGGACCAGAGAAGTGAACAAACCCAGAGCCCTAGAACGTCCTCCAGTAAATCCGGAGATCCTAAGATGACAATGAAGTCAGAGGTCAAGGAGGTTGCACTAGTGCTGCTTTACTTGGAAGGGAGGCCTGTAGCGTACGAAGTCCTCGACCCATGGCAAGTTGTGCATGGTCTCGGAACGGTTTGGGATTGCTCAAACCTGCGACTTCTGGTTCCTTTACAAGAAACGATTGAGAAGCTGGGTATACACCGTCGAAGGGCTGGTGACGCGTGGGGGGGCTTTGAGCAGCGCTTGCTTGACACTGACCTAGTCTACTTGGAGTTCTTCGCCTGTAAGAACATGCCTGGTGTCAGTGAGTGTCTGAATGAAGAAAAGAAGATGTGCGATAGATACACCGTGCATAGAGAAGCGGGGTCGATCGTTCAGGTCTCCGATAAGGGGGGGACTGCACTGCACTTGGCCGTCACACTACAAAGGGATGATCTACTTGCTTTTGGGCGTGCGCAAGTACCGAGATCCGGTTCTTCTTTGGACTTCTATCTCTAGTTGGGCGCAGCTGGTTGGATGGCTTACTGGTATCCTCCTGTTTTACGAAAAGCCTTATCGCTCGAGTAGCTAGGACAGCTGAGCGAGAGCGGAACCCGGCGGCCGGGTTTAAACCCGAATCATTGAGGTGCACTAGGGTTCAAAGTGCGTCTAGTCCCATTTTGCTTGCTAGGTTTGTATTACGGACTAGACCCTTACAATTGCTCAAAGCTCTCGTGTCCATTGGATGTCCATCGGGTGTCCATCCGCTAAAGACATGTTCGAATAGTCTCGCCAGGCTACTAGATCATCACGTTTCAGACCCCATCCACGATGAGCTGGTATGGACCTTCGTGATACCGCCTCGCTAAAAGAACTGGCAAAGCGCAGACGTTCCTTGGCGCATTGTTGCACACCCAAAGACAAGAATTAAATGTATGCCAGTGATGAAAGCATGCATAGTGACAATAATGCTGGTTAAGTCATTCCGAATCTCCTTGGATTCAAAGAAGTTGCCTGGAGTTGACTTTCAACGTAGCGTTCCAACTTCCGGAAGGATAACTTAGTAATATAAGCAAGATGGACAATCCACTAAACGAAACGAGCTAAGCTGGCTTTTCTGTTTAGCAGCATCTAAGCAGCATGGTTGCTGTAGCCATTAGTGCGCGGTTTGTGTCCAGTTAGAATCAGGATCCCAGGGCCAGCAAATTAGTTTTTTCATGCACTATCTGAGCGCTAACGTCGGCCACTGATGTATCTGCCCGATAGGTTCGGTCACATGGCCACCCGCGGTACCAACGAGGACAGTGACGAAGCATACTTTCTGAAGTCCTATGAAATGATTTCATGAGTTGTACGAACGCGGGAAGCAAATCTCAGTACGTGGGCTTATGCCAGTGACGATCGAGTCGAGTTCGAGTTTATGTTCTGACTTAACTGCAATTATGCCGCCTTCTCTTTTGAATGTTCTTTTCAGGCAGCTGTACGTGTGAACATAGAATTGCTGACTGACGGTCGAACCTCCTCCGATTCTTGTGACATGTACTAACATGTGACTTAGTACGTACTTGCACCATAGCACCGAGTCGAGTCTTATGTCGGAGTTAATTCCGGACACATCAAGGGAACAAATGATCAGTTTCTCACAAACGCGGCTTTTATGCGCCGGTACGGATAATGCAGCTGGCTTTGAGCGCAATTAGTAGCCGAAGGCATAAGTGGTGCCCTTTCATCAACGCCAAACCAGTACGTGCGTTGATCGGCGCCAATCTGGTGGGTACTTTCTGGCCGCTGAAAGGGACCCATTTGTCGGGGGTTAAAGAATTCTGATACGGAGTTTTGGACTAATCATAAGCCTGGGAATCTAGTTTGAATCTCATGCACATGCATACGCGCTGCTTTTATGCGCCGGTACGGCTAAAAACCTGCAGCCATGACTTTATAGTAAGCGCGCTAAAACATCAGATTCATACATATTTTGAGGGCCTTTTGAATCTGCGCTCAAAGTTGCTCTCCCATGATAATTGCAGGATCGGGCACCTTTGCATGTAGACCCTTAGTTCATTGGATTAAATCGTGCTCATGCATATCATTTCTAGTATTCAGGTGGTCAAATTCTGCCTTCATGTCTGGCTTTGAAAATAATGAATCAAGTTGCATGTGTGACGAACACACTCTGTATGAAGCCTACCTACTGATCAAGTGGCCGGTCACGCGTAACTTTATAGATGACCTCTTATCGTAGAATGGTTACAAATGTGAAGATCGACAAGAGATTGCCTACGAGCCTGAGCGCGCGCGGCCAATGTAAGTGTATGCACAGGAAGCGCCGCTCTTCGATCCAGCCTTCGGGAATTGCAGGAACTTCTCGTTTGCCTTCTATCATCCAGTAGCGAGCAAGCCTGACCTGGCGTAAGCGTCAGGTGAAACCCATTGCCCGCACGCATGACGTCGACTCATGTTTCAACCCAAGAAGTTACTGATCTTTTGTCGGCAGCATCAAAGATGGATCATGGTGAACGCCACAAAACCAACGTACTTTACAAGATAGTTAGACACCCTCTTCAGGGTGACCCAAGGAATGCTATGATTGACCGACTTATTTGTTCAGTTGGTATCCCGAGTCGTACGATACGACATCCTAGCGGCTTCTTACGACGCTTCCAGATAGCTCGATTTAGCGTCCACAAGTGTGACCCCCCCGAAAAAGTCCGAGCAGCGCTCCATCTCCGGACTCGCCATGTGAATGGGCCCCCCCACGTTGGGCATCTTTGGACACACCAAATACTGCGGGGCGGAGTGCCAGCACGGATCGTGATTCTTGGCGCGCTCGCAGGAGTAGTAGTTGGCGTAATAGGGGTTTGTGCCAGCGATGCTTGAGGCGACGTAACCGAACGTCGAGGTTTGCGTGATGATCTGACGGTCGGTGAAGCTGAGAAGCCAGACGTCTACGACGGCCGAATCATAGTGCGAGAGGTCGCTCCACTTTTCTTCTTGTTCATGCGTCGCGCTTAACACCTGCGGATCAAGGAGACGTGTCAGGATTTGCAGGAAGAGTTACGTTCGTAAGCCAGATTGCGTTGTGCGTCAAGTGTCCGTCTTCAAAGTCGGGACCACTGCATCTTATCATCCAATGGTTTGAGAGATGGTGAAACGGAAACAACTGACAGATAGTCAAGGAGCTGACGTCAGAACTTGCGCCGGGGATGCTGCAACGTGTCGCCTGAACTCATTGGCAGAACGGTGTCCCAACCCGAATTCGAGGAACAAGCCTGCTCAAATGCATCTAAGAACCCAAAACGAAGACGTCTCTCATGCAAATGAGTCCGTCGGCAGGAAAGTTCGCAACTCAGCTGGGAAAAGTCCAAGCTCTTGAGCCCTGAAAGGGCTCTAGGCTTGTTGTGAACCACTTTGAGAGACTCGTTTTCTACTTCCAGAATACAATACCGAAGCAATTGACAAAGACTTGGACTGCATGACGACGCTCGAACTAGCCCCGACGAGAAAGAGGCACAAGCAACGATCTTCCCTTTGCATCACTCCGTAAGCATTTCGTGCTCGTGCGACCGGAGTCCCTTCTTTTTTATCAACATTCCTCCATACTGGCAAAAGAATTATTAGACGTTTGGACCATGACCAACGACCCTCCCCTGCTTGACGTGCACTACTTGAAGTGGACCCAAACAGCAAGGAGGATGGAAAGCAAGGTGGAACCTGTGCCTTCATGGAAGAGCCTGATCTCTCCGCTCGTTACTTCATAAAACGTGCCACAATTGAAGTGATTGTAATGTGGTGTTGCAAAGGAGGAAGCGAAGTCAAACTAATGATGCAGGGGACACGTATTATGGACCTTAGCGAGCTTTCCCCCCTCGAGAAGCGCTCCCCGGTACCTGACGTCAATCTTATGCCGCAGGTAGACGCGTGACGTCATCCGACGTTGCAAAGAAAACGGGATAACCAAAGAAGGAAGGGCAAACAGAGAGACCGGAAAAGGAGAGATACGTTGGGGAACGGGGAATGAGCAACCAGTACTGACCTTGACTCTGCGCCCCGCCACCGTCTTGTTCTTGCTGAACACCTCCCTCAGATGCTCCTCGTACTGCGGAATCATGCTCGCAACAAACAGCACATCGAACGCGTCTTTGCTCGACGCCTCGGAAATCTCAACCCCCTCTTGGGTCGGCAGTGTGTCAACCAGCCTCGGAATCAATTCATGCTCGGCCATACACGTCAGCGCGTTGTCACTGGTCCGCTGGTAATACAGCTCTTTTCCGTCGCCCTTTTGTCGGATCTGAAGCCCCACGGACTTGGTCGCGCCGGCCATGTGCTGATTGTAGAACGAAGTGACACGTGTCCAGATGCGGTCTTGCGGCAGGTAGAGGTAGCGCGACAGCCGGTGGAACACCTGCGCGCGCGAGCTGTTTCGTCAGAAAAGCAAACGTGTCGTCAGCTATATTCGTTCCTAACCTAGGACGCGACGAGAGTTTTCAGACGGGCCCTTGGGCAGGATGAAAAATGTGGCGCGTCCCGGTGGGAGGCAGCAGGAACCCAGTATAACAAATGAAGATCGGAGAACTCCATCCTCAAAAGACATTGTACTTTGTGTGATCTTGTGGAGACGTAAATTTGGCACATATCACGTCGCAAAAACCCCGCCAAGAACTCTATTTTCAAGAAAGTTCTACCTCAGCGAGAAATATAATGCCAAGTTGTTGGCTTTCTAATTTGGTAAAGAAAGCGTTGACTAGTTGCGATTAGCCCTTGACGGGTGCCCATGTCAGAATGTTTGGGCAAGAATGATTCTGGGCGTCTCCAAAGGGGGTTCCTCCTGAAAGTAAGAGCTCACCTGGTTATCTGGGAAGAGCTCTTTGAGCAGTAGCCGCTTCGTGGGATGCACGTAAAGACCGGGCAGCCTGCACAATGATGGTTTGCTCATTACAGAGTAGGCGACGTTTTTCAATCAAGTTTCCAAACTATTTTGAAGTGGAACTTTCGACCAACTCAACTTAGCAGTCCATCGACTGAGTACTGACCCACGCCTCAACATCGACTCGATCGACGCCGATCCTTGGCCAACACTCTGCGCGATTATTTTGCTTCACATAAAACTGTTCTTCGAAAGGACCTCCATACAACAGTCTCTGAACGACGGTGTTTCCCTCAATTAGTTTGGCCCCACAAGGTCGACTTTTAAGGTCTTCGTAATGCGGAAAGGTAACATCACATTGACGTTTACCAGAGAGCCTGACAAGGTTGAAGCTTGTTGCAGACCTCAGTGCCAGCTTCATTCCTGACTCACTGGAATATCCGAGAAGCTCGACGTCCTCACGAAAGAGGTCAATTGGCAGGTCGGGCTTTTGGCACTCTGCTCAGTTTCCCAGTCTCTCATCCCGCATTTCAAAAGAAAAGGCTCAATCCGCGTAAGGACTTGGCTGTATTACAAAGAGGAACTAGAAAAAGCGCCCACCAGTAGTTGTTCCACGTGTCGTGCGGAAAGATGAACCACGTCCGCGTCTCCAGTTCCTTCATCTCCTCTTCGCAGGCAGTTAAGGCCCCAACGTCGCTCATAGGCCACTGCACAAGGACGTAGAAGCTTGAACGGTTGACAAAATCGCGGAGTAGTAGTAACGAAGCGCTGTGACTGCTCTTAATGGTTCTGTTGCCAGAGTGTCGGATGATTCTTTCAGAAGAATTAACCTTGGATTCCTAGTTTCCACAATCACACATGTGAGAACAGAATATAGCTTCATATAGGTGGCAGCCAGAGTTTTTGATGCATCGCTTACCTGCGGACCTTGACGATCCATCATTGAAGATTTTGATAATGTTATGATATCGATAAGGCTTGTTGAAACGACAATGAAATTATTCCTAAGCATTTCCGGCAATCAAGTCCTCATATCTCTCACTGTGCTGACTTTTAGACGCTTGTGGCCGACGGATTTCGGAGGACCCGGTTTCTGTTCGTCTTGATGCTCAAAAAGTGGATCTTGAGCCTGGCGAGAGACATTCGACGGCACTGGAAGTTGCACATCCGGACCAGTTCCACTTGGGTGTCAAACACCGAAGCTGACAGGGAATGAACGTAGCAAGCTGGCAAAGGTAATATTAAGGAACTGTAATACTCAAGGCCAGAGGGAGGTCCAACGAGACAGAATTTTTAGTCGTCCTGATTTGTGTTGACCATTCTCTTGGGGCTAGGATGCGGACTTGGGAACCCACAAAATACGAAACGGCAGAACATAGCAGAACAAGTCTGGAATGGACGTCTCACAGGCAAATTGTCGAACATCTTGAGAACCGGGAATTCTTCCGGAAGCAGCCAGCTCGACCCCGGAAACGGCTCACAAAACAATTGCCCGAGGGCCGCCTCGACACCGGGATTGACCAAGAGCCTGAAGGGAAGAAGGGACACACAACTGGTGTCAGGCGACTTGTATGTCTCAGAAGGGCAGAGCAACTGTGTCATGTTGCCCTTCCTGTGTCAACTGGAAATCACTTTACGAGATTGACGGAGAATTTGAGTAATATAGGAACAACAGCAGTTGGAACAGATTTGACCAGGTGAGTCATCTACTTGATTCCAAGGCATCTGAAAGTGGCGCTGCCTGGCTGACTAGCAATGCGCGGCTTTTGAAGAAAGTAGACTGAAGGTCAGACAACCATACCCTTCGACTCTTGCCTGGAACGGTGCTGTTACCAATGGCGAGCCCCTCTCTCAAAGCCAACAGTAGCTTCATCTAGAGCCCTAACTGGTTCAACCTGGAACACACTTTAAATTCATATTCACGGAGGTGAGGAGATCCCTTATCCACAGAGGTGGGGATATCCCAGATATGGATTGTGCTTCTAGGAGACCCTGAATCTTCAAACCTCGAAAACCTGAAACCCTGAAAGGTCAACACGAAGTGGTATGAGCTCGTGTGTAAGCATTATTTTTGTGGACAGATGTTAAGCCTACCAACATCGTGGGCCTCCTTCATTCAGGCGGGTCTTGAATACCACAACATGTCAGCATTGCGCCAGACCCTCAGTACAACACCTGCCAGTCAGAAACAAATGACACAGAGTTCCATTTGACCGCGAATTTCTAAATTCAATCCGACGGAAGTGAAAAAGAAGGATGAAGGGTAAGAAGGATGGGGTTTGCGACGCTCACACTCGTTGAGCCAGCACTGCATACATGAACGTCGACGCCAGGTTCAGCATCTTGTTCCCCAAACCCGCGCGTCCCGACCAGACCACAAATTGGCACCCCTCGGGGGGTTCCTCTCCCCGCCACGCTTCTGTGACATTTTTCATGTTGGAAATACAACCGCGGTGATATGCAGCATACGCGTCAAAGACCTGCGCAGCGATCCCGTTTGCATCGTCCACCTTTCTGGGGGGGTACTCCGCTCTCTCCTTGCGGGCCAGGCACGCCCCCCCGGAAGGGGCGTACGGACCAAGGGGTAGTGTTTTTGCCTTCAGCCGCGCAAGAAAGTCTAATATCTGGGGGCTGGGAGGGGCAGCGGGGGCAAAGTTTTCAAGACCTGCAGAGCAGTCAAAGCTTTGCTTCATCTCGTTTTTACGTAAAAAAGACTGTCCGAGTCGTCTGTTTCTGAGATGCTTAGAGTGAGAGGTGACTTTCTTGGTTAGATAGGCACATTTGCAACAGAAAGCTTCTGGAATGTAAGATTAACAGGTCATGTATGAAGAGGCACACGTGCGATCGTTGAGCTTGTCACATCTTCAAACAGGACTGCTCAGGAAAGAAAACGTGCACCAACTTCCTAGATCGCCTGCAGATAGCAGTGACAAGACCGATCGTCGCAAGCCTGGCGCCCCACACTTTCCAATCAGCACCGTACTCGTGAAGCTCAAATGAGCTGTTTGTGCAACAGTGGACAGGGACATGCTGCTAAACTTCCTTCAAACCGCAGGCAATGCCAGCACTTATCATCTTGACATGACGACACAACATTACTTTTATGTTACCGCAGCGAGAGAAGAGCTTTGACTCCTGAGCTGCAATGTTTATTGTCTTTTGGTGATACTCAACCTCATGCATCACCTCCAACAATCCTTGTGGGGTTCAAAAGCCGGGAGAGAGACAGAGAAGAAGAAAGTGGACATGCGCGGAGTAATCAGCGGGAATCCGCAGAGTAGTCAAGAAGGGAAGACAAGCGAGGAGTCTGGGTTAAGAGGAAAGAAGACTGGGAGGAGGGGCAATCAGCTAGCAGGCAGGTAGCAGGGACTCCACAGAATCTCCTCTTCTAAGATCGTGGAAGTTGAGGAAGCGCTCTTACCCATTTGATAGCCTCTGATAGCTTTCAGCAGGGGCGGAATCGCCGTTCCTCCCGACATGGTGACAACTAGAGCCGACAGCAATGTAGCCAGCAGCACCACACAGGCTACCGGCCCCCTGTGTCTAGAGGCATAGCTGTGAATGAGGGCCGTCAACTTAAGCCTGGTGGTGTCTGAAAATAGATCGCCGCCCTTCATTTATGCTGACGCCAATATCGCTAGTATGCTATTATGATCAGGCAGCTGGGGGAAGTCTATACAAAGCCGAGGCGCGCTTCCTGTCTATCAAAATGGATGGGGGCGTTTTGGTTTTTTGCTGCTGCAAGAGATACTGCTTGTTCAGTTGATTGGTCGCCCAGGATTGGCTCCAAAGAACACAAGCTGGTTTAAATAGCAGCTGAGCAGCAATATCCACCAGCTGAAAGCCTATGTGAGGAGGCGAGTGGAAGCAGCCAGAATAGGACTAACTTGCATTGAAGTTCTTGGGTACCGTCTGCTGAACAAGCTGGCGGTTTTGCTGGCTTTGAAGACTTTTAAGCTCTACATGTAGCTTGCACCCGTGCACTGCAGCTGGACTAGCTCTTAAAACAGAGTATGAGAAGAATGCCGTGAGCTGCTTTTGCTTCCCATCGTACCTCTTTCCAAATCTGGAAACTGGATCACAGACATTTCCGTCTGGAAGGCCAAGAAGGACTTTCAAATGGTCAAAGCAGAACCAATGAACTACCTATAAGGAACAATAGGAAGTCCCCGCATTGATCTTTTCGCACTACACAGAGAGCCATCAGAGTGATTCGACTTTAGAGCAGTCTGGCAGTGGTGGCAATATAGGTATGCATGCGCCAAGCCGGACTCCCGACAGAGTCTCCCCCGACATTTCCGCATCGTGCTGACATACTTCCGTACGTATTTTCGGATCGGTCGGGATGAGGAAGTACAAAGATGGCCGGGAACATCTACCGGGTAGTCTCGGGTTGAATGCGGAACGGTAGCTGCTGGGTGATTGAGCCGGGAAGCGGTTCCGGGCTTTCATACCGGGCAGTCTTGCATTGACAAAGAACTTCTCGATCTCGGATTGCCCCAGGGCAGAAACTTCGGACCAGTCTTGGACTCGGGCCACGTGGATCCGCAATCTCGCACGGAGAGTATGGACACTGGACTATGATTGATTGGCAGAGCCTGAGATACAGGGGTTCTAGCAGGATTTTGCCCGGAGGTGCTGTGAAGCCCCTGGGCTTCGCCCCGGGGCGCCGACCAGCTCCCCTGGGGCGCCCAAGCCAAGCCGGGCGCGGGGTTCGAGCGCCCGGCACATTTCCGGGTTTCCTGGACGCCGCGGTGTTAACTAGATTCTAACCGAGCCGCATCCTGTTCATACCGGTCCTTGTCATTGGTCTACGCCGTACGGTATACAAGCAGCCTGCCATGAAGTCGGAAGAACCCTATTAGCGTATTCAAAGGCGATGCCACAGGAAAAGCTGCTTATGTAGAATTTCAATGGGGATATATTATATCTAAGTACCTTAATATATAACCATAGGGGGCTGTCCTTGGACTAGAATCCTGTTGGAAGTATTCCTGAGCTCCTAGAACTCCCCTAGAACCATGTAGGCTTTGACCATTTAGGTATTGGGTCTAAAGATATTTGAAACACAATGCGCTTATACTCTCTTCTTCGTTCGACAATACTCCAGAGTTCCCGGTCACTAAGGCGGCCTGGATTCCATGCAAACGGACCTTTGTACCTAGTTTTCCATATGTAGGCGGGGCCTGCGGCCCAGGGCGCCGTGGCGCCCCGGGCTTCCGCCCGGGGGCGCCAGTATTTGCCCCGGGGCGCACTGCGCCCCGTTTGGCGCCCCGCCAGAACCCCTGCTGAGATACATGAATTAAAGTGGGCGTCGGGGTATAAAACCCGCACTCGTGCAGCAGATGTTGATCTCCGGCTGTGCACATTTTGGCGACTTGACCAAAGTGGCAAGCGCGCTCGCCTAGAGGTCGAAAGCTGCGGCCCGGTCCGGGTTCGAATCCAACTTTTTTGTTTTTTTTTTGGACCGCAGTCAGGGGGTCGGGGCCTACTAGGCCCGCCAAGATCGCCTGGGTTATGACCCCAGCGACCCCCCTTTTACAAAAAGCATATTTTATGCTGGTACGGCCGGGCCCAGCAATTTATTTGAACCCAGACTATGCTGTCCCGGCTCTTCACGGGAAAATAAAGACCACCAAGAGGGTTCCTTGACACCAAGACGGACCAAGTCGGAACAGGGATTGTATAAGAGGTCTCTGACGTCACTAACCATAGGGTCCGGAATATTATAAAAGACGTCACTTTAGAACTGACTAGAATACTCGATACTTTTCCCGCTTATACCTTAGAACTTTTCTGATTTAACCAGAAGGCTAAGGACGGTTGTAGACTAGAAGTGGACCTTCGTGCCAGGCTCCGTGAGGCATTCAAGCACACCGAGTCACGACACCGGCCTCAGTTTTTCAGAGTATAAAAGCGAGCCGAACCAACTTTCTTTCCTCATTTCCAGCTTTTCCTTTTCGGGATTTTTAGTGGCAGAAGGCGGCGCCCAGGCACGGTCAAGGAGGTGACGTCAGCAGCTTGCTGACGTAATATTTGGAATTAAACATTGTGTTACTATGTACTACTTGAACTGTGCACATTTTCTTGCATGATCAGGCTTGATGAAGCCTTTCTTGGAAGACCGGAAGCGGACATTCTTGGAAGACCAGAACCGGGCACGGCCAAGATATGTCAGGATTCTTGTACACACGTACCATTACCGTACGGTACTAGTAGCAAAAGCGAGTTCTTGTATGCACGCACGTACTGTGCGGCGCCGAGTGGTCAGAAAGAGAGACAGACTGATAATTATTTAATCATTTGCAGAACTTCAGTGAATTAGAAACAGTAACCGAAGACCCTTTTCCTCTTGCACAGGACTGATTCTGTTTAGAATCATCGGGCAACCGATTGGACAGAGAGCATCTCAAATTTGCGCTTTAGAATCTGAGCAACTATTCTATATAAAACACCTTCAAAGTGATCGGGAGGCGGTGCCCGGGGATTGGGCCAGCAATGGCTGGTCTGAACCCTGAATCTTGACTGTTCCAAATCAACGGCGAAAGCCGGCTGAGGCTAGCCTAGCTCAAACGAAGGGTCGCGATCGTTCCAATTCGGCCGAGCACGATTTGCTATTAGCAAAAAGGCAAAAGTGGCCCTCCGATGAATTCTATCGACGGCATCAGTAAGATCATATCCCGACATGGATTCAAAGCATCTGAGCGAATCTGCTCTTGCGTTGACACCGCCGGTACCTCTGACGCACTGTCCATGTGTATGTGACCTTGAGTGTAGTGTACAAGTAACAAATCGTGATTTCGTACTGGCCTGTGTCAATGTT